TCCTGGCCATGCATGATTCTCCCTGGGGAAAAAAATGAAAGGCAGCTGGTGGCCATAGCTACCAGAGCAATTCAGAGAGCTGCCACCTAGACACGACCTTTCCCCGAGTCCTGACATCATGAGAGCAGGTAAATACCCATCAGAAGACACCTTCAGTCTTCTTAGGACAAAGAAATGTACCTGAAGGCCCCTACAAAAGGAAACGGCTAGGAGAGAGTTGCTACTACCAGCTTCATTTGGAGCAGAAGACAGAGCAGCAAGCTGCTGAGCCTTCAGGCAAAAAGGTGTTTGGAAATCAGCTGCAAGCCAAACAGTATCTGAAGGTACCTTTAAACTACTACAGCTAACATACTGTTAGAGGACAAACTGTTAGATTTCTGGAAGAGAGTCTTTTTGCGTCTTTTCCCACTGGTTAGGTAAGCTTGAAGTTTGCTCCAATGGAAGCAGAACTGATAAATATTTCATAGTACCACAGCTTGAAAAGAGCTGTAGCTGCTTCAACACTCTGCCAAAATTACATATATTCTGTTAATATGTGTTTCTAAACTAAACACAGCTAAGATGATGAAAAAAGGGAAAAAAGACATCAGTGCAATTAGAGTAGTCTAGCCAAAAAAAAAAAAAAAGAAAAAAAAAAAATCACACTCTAAACTCCAGTCACCTAACTCCGTAATTTCCAGAACCAACCTTCAATCCACACAAACTGAGAACTCTCCCTTCTTGAGATTTTGAACTAGCTTGTTAAATAGTGAACATTCAGCCTCAAAGTCAACTGATTTTTAAACAGTAACTATCGTGATTCTTACTTAATCTATTAATGTCTTCTGCATATTTGACTAGAAAATCTGTTTTTCCAGTTCCTGGCCAGATACGACGTATTGCCAGGCTGCAGGATCACAGCACACAAGAAGCCTAGGTGATCTGTGAAACTTAGGTGCACGTGCCATATAATAAAAAGATGTATTTTGTCTGAAATGATGATAAGACTTGCCTTCCCTCTGCATTAACTGAAGGATCACTGCTGGGAGTAGTGAAGAGGTGCCGTTCACAGCAAGAAGGTCATGACATGTTATGCATGTTATTATCATCTACTGTAAATATTAACAAAGTGAAATACCTTGAGATATGTGGTGAAATATTTCACAGATGGAGGAAAAACATTAACTGGTTATCCAAATGACATGGAAGGCATGAACAAGAACAGAGTTCACAACTCAGTGCTGTGGAGATCTTCAGGTTGCCTTGTCTGTTTCTCTTGCTGAGAACTCTATCTCAGACATGCTCTAACCAACTGGACTAACCCAGTTTTCTCCCCTCTGCCCTTCTAGGAGAAGAGAGGAATGCGAACAGGTGAAGAGAAGGTCACAAGGTAATACTAGTATAGTTTTAAAACACAAGGTACAACTGAGGTAAACTTTTAACTTCTGGTAGCTTTAATCCCTCTGGGTACTTCTTTTATTTAACAGCCACTCTAAGATATTTTTTCTCCAGCATACGTAGGCTTACTGTGGCAGCCGACAGTTTTCATGAGGCTTTGAGACCACAGTTCAATGTGGTATTTTCTTTAGTAGTTACACTGATTCATCTCCCCTACCTAGCCTCCTCCACGCAATCCAGCTGGCTTTCCCATGCCCACACACGCCCAGTGCAACTGGTGGCAGGTTTCACACGGACCTGGGGTTACATCAGTTCCTTTACCTGATTCCAAGTGCATTTGAAGACTACATACTGTAGTCTTTCTGTGACACTCAGGGCTCTGAGATGAATACTTTAATGCCACTATCTCCAGAATTTTATTCAAATAGGTAATGTTGAAACTGCAATCTAAAAATCAAAATTTAACACAGGAACTCTCCACTCATTTCAGGTATTTCCCCCCCCAGAATACAGGCCTGGCTGAGGCCAGAGATCCCAAGCTGAAGATGTACAGCTAACCTACCTGTGTAGAGATTCCACCGAAGTGCAGAAGTACACTATTCAAGAAGGCATCAAAGCCATCACTACATTGCAGTGTTGCTCCAGGCACGGGGGAAATACAAGACCAGCTCCCCTGTGAGTTTCTCCACTGAGGACAGTGTCCCACTGAAAATGCCCATGAACTAGCCCAGATGTTAACAAGAAAGAAAGCTTAAGTTTCATTTTAAATTCCATCCAAACTACACACGCTCCATACCATGTGATCTACTACACTGCTTCTGAAGGGTGATGGGCAGAAATAATTCTACGACCTTATTCTGCTATCTTAATGACTCTGTGTTTCAGACTTGAAAGAGCTGTTTCTAATTTGAAATTAAGAAAAAAAAAAAGCAGCAAAACCAAACCGACGCTCTCCACCCAAAAGAAAACTTCATAACTAAGCCAGGAACAGCTTGCCTAGAGTCAACATCTACGTGACAAACGTTTTTCATAGTTAGCATGCCAAGTTATATCTACCATAAATGCTAACCATTATGCCAAGACATCAGATGGCACATAACTGAAGAGCCGTTAGTACGCTCAAGATTTAAATGCAAGGACAAAAGTGGAGATATATTTCCCCCACCCCTCTTCAACCAGTATCTTCACTGCTATTTTTGAATCCTTATCCTTCCACCACCCTCTGAAAAACCAAAAATCAATGCGTTCGTAAAGGCCAATTGCACATGCACCATGACAGAATACAGAACTCTGATTTCCAAAGACTTTCTCATGAATAACTGAGAGGGTGATATTTCTAGACTAATATTCATTAACAGTCGAGATTACGTCATTTTACAGCATAGCTGAGCAGACTAGAAAGAGTTTCTGCAGAATTGCACAGCTTTTATTTCTCTCGATACAGTTGAAGGACAGGGCAAGGAAAACAAAACATCAAGGCAAAAGATTAAAAATTCAGAGCATCTAAAAGACAATCTTCTCCAATTTAAACAAAATACAGATTAGCCTTTTTACTGTTTGAATGGCAGTAATTGCCGTAATCGCAGTTCTACAACTCTATCCATTCTATTTCTGTTCCCTCACGCTCTTTCTTCAAAAGAATTTCACATTTGAAACTGAAGTTTCTTAGGAAGTAGGAGCTTTTTCTCTCTTTTTGTTGTCTTACACCTGTGTGTATACAGCAGTTTTAGAGTGCCAACTCCTAAACATGTCTCCTTACGACGGCTAATTATGCATTCAAATTGGAGAAAGTGCATCCACAAACCTGGAAACAGGTGTCTGACAACCAGACTGTATCAACCGATGGGTTTTATGCATTTTATTGATTAAGACAGACACAGGAGTAAAGGCCTATGGAAAAAAATCCCTAATAACCATCTTTATTAAACAGGCACTTCCATATCCTTGAAGTTTTTAAACTTATTGCAGAAATTTCTTCTGCAGCTATTGTGTCAGATAATCTGGCACAACCACCATGCCTCAACAACAGCGCTGGAAAGCAGGTGCCAGCGTCGTGCCCCACTCCCTTCACGTGCTCCTGCTGCCTCCTGAGAGCTGGCTCCGGCCCTCAGCTGATCCCCAGCAAGTGCATTCAACTCCCTGAAGTCAAACTCAGCAGAAGAATACGTACCCGACAGGTCAGATGCTTGACCTGGATTACCTTGCAATTAGATACCAGCACCAGTGCTCCGCATGGGTTGGCAGTGCACCAGGAGTGAGAGGGGGAGCAAAACCCGCCCCCTTTCAACAGTGATGTGCTGTGAAATCAGCTCAGCCAAACACTGAAACTGTACTCTAGGACACTCACCAGCTGCTCGGCGTTTTAACAGGTCATTAAGTGATAGAGGGAAGGTGCCTTCTAGAAAAGGGCTACAGTTAAAAAAGCCTATTCAAGAGAACTAGGATTTAGGAGAAAAAAAACAACAAACAAATGATGGAATGAGCAACAGGATTTGTATAAAAGTACTAGTTCTTCTGGGAGATGCTCTTATAAAGTGCTCTCTATATAAACAGAAATAAGTGATACTACCAAAGTCTGCAGAAACTAGAAGGGTGCTACAGTTGAGACTTAGCAAAAGTCTGAGAGAAAACAGACTGTGATGGCCCTTAGGTTCCTACTTATACAGGAAACGTTACTGAAGTCACAACTTTTGAAGACTAAAGAGAAACAAAAACTAATAAAAAAGTACTGGGTGCAGCAAGGAGGAGAAGGCAAGGCAGAGTTCTTCCATTACCTAGACATGATTGCCAAAGCAGCACACATGACACTGAGAGCTCAGCGGTCTGGGGAGGTTGACAGGATAAGTTTGGTTACTGTGATAGCCATCTCCCTAGTTATTGCTTCTGATATAGCTGGACTGGCATGCAACAGCCTCTTGAGAGCTTGGTTGTACCATCCAACCTGCAGGTTTCGGGTGTATTTGCATGGTAAGCAAGCAGAATTGACATGTTCTTCAAAGAGAAACTAGCAGACTACTCTTGAATGGAAATGAACAGTAATCAAATGAAGGAGTTGGATAGAGGTATTTTCCTGACAAAAGCTGTTTCATACCTTGTGTTACAGTTCGGAGTCATTTGTGAATTGAGGACACCAACCTGGCTGACTCTGCCTAATGTGAAATGACATATATGTGGATAAAATTAGACTTGATAAAGTTAGTACAGATAGCATGGACTAATTCTGTGCATGTGCAGAGTAGCTGAAGAGGGAATCACTCTCTTAAGCATTCAGTTGCCTCAATTAACAACCATTTCACCTTCAATATAAAAAAATGTACTCTAAGCTCTAAACTCCCAGTCCGTATCAATTCAGGTTTTATATATATTTCAGCGAATAGCACCATTCATATACCTGGGCATCACATTACTCAACACAGAATTATGACCTCGACCTGCTTTTAGATATATACATCAACTTTATGTTAACTGAAACACTGTATCTGCAGATAATGTTTGCATTAGTCACAGTATAGAGGGACAAAAACCCACACAAGGTAAACAGAACTGACATTTTAAAATGCATTTTTACAAACTCTTCATTCCTTTACTTGATGCATTAGATACTTAAATGGAAATATACTTACTGCTCTTTTTCTGGAACAACCTGTAATCCAAGGCACAGTAAGGTTTCCTGAAATCTGTAGAGGGGAAGGAGGAAACAGAACAGAAAACAACAGCAGCTTAGGTTGCTATGATAGCTAATACTGAACAGCTTTCACAAGACTTCAATATTGCGCATTCAATTCTGATGTCTTTAAAACAGGTTAAGATTTAAAAGCAAAACAAAAGTTACACTCTGACTTACTGCTGTAAGGCTAAAACCAAAACACTGTTTGGGTGAGGGTAAGGTAACACGAGGGCAACTTGGGTGTTCCTGTATTTTTTGCTCTCTCAAAACTTGTATTTCAGAACACAAGCTTCCACTTTCAGTCCGTCACAAAACTAGTAAGATTAAACAGACTGGAGTTAGACAAGGGCCAGTGTCTGAGAGAACTGCCATCACATATTTTTCAATTACATTGGTTAAACTTTCAGAAAAAATACTAGCAGGTTAGTGACTGAGCTATTCAGGGTCAGATGTTACATACTACCAGAAAACCCAGGGACATCAGGCTGGAGAAGGAAGGGGAAGGGGTATGAAGGCAAAGGTTAGCTGCCTTGATTCCTGTTACTTCTCCATCACTCCCAGAGGTCAGACTTGATTAAGTAATAATCTTGGACTGTTTTCCCTGGCCATCTGAAATGTGTCATAGCCTGGAATATTTTAGGCTTATTTAGGATTCCATGTTCATCTGCTGCTGCAGACAAGCAATGCTTGAGAGACTAAACATAGCTCTTGAGAGATTAATCAATCTCAAGTCATTACACACACTATATATGTGAGGAAGAAGTATCTACACACTTCTGCTGACTGTATCAAACTACGCTAATAGTTTTTGTATTTGCGAATTGCTCTACTAATGAATCTTGCAGCATGAGCATAACCAAATATAGAATGCTTGGTACGGTTTGTCTAGTGTATAAGTACATAAAATACTTTTATTCTTCAAGCTTTTATCTGGAAACGCTTGGAGGTTACCTAAGGTCGGACACTTTCTCATTACAGCACAAAGCATGTTGAGGGAGGCTAGAAATGAACACCTTCTCCTCCTAAGGGCAAGTCTACATCAGCTTTTGTGTCTAAAATATTAATTTCTTAGTTGCACACACACATTTTAGAAATTCTGTGTAAGCAAGTTCTGTCTATTACAATTCTATATCCAATACAACAGCTTCACACCACTGATTCTGCTGTAAATGTGCCCTCAGTATCCACCCAGATGGTTTCTCTAAAGTGGGGCTACTGAAAAAAATGCTTTTTGATGTGAACAGAGCAATCAGTCTGGCAGAGCATTAACAGTTACTTCGAAGAAAAATGCACACAAGTTCTGACAGGTATGATGTCAAATACAATCAAGTTTATCTCAATATAACTACTTGAAAGAGCATGAAGGGGAGGACTCTAAACTGGCTCTAGGAAAAAGGCCCAAGGGTTGGGGCTTTTTGAGGGGGGGCTTTATTTTTTGAGTGAGATGGATAGTTATCCTGCATCCGCAGGGGTAACTCCTGTCCTAATCCAACTGGGACAGCTACTCTGAGCTGCAAAAATGACAACATGCAATGCTTGTCTCAGAAACAGCAACTCTGGCAGATGCTAGAGAAAGTTCTAAGGCACTGTAACGCTTGTGTATTGCCAGGGATGCACCCTAATTAAAACGGTTACACTATAGAAGGTCACCACATAATCTTTTTCCAATTCACCTATAGATTTACTGTCTCAAATTCAGTGGATGGGAACAAACCATGAGCCCTAATGCAGTCCTGGTTGCTGTGTGTCCCAGAATTGAGGCCATACATAAGTGTTTTTGCAGCTTGCTCACAGCTGCTGTCCTCCCCAGAGCCCCAGAAGTTCTTCCCACTCATGCAGCTGGAAGTATTTAATCCCAGAAATAAAGCAGAGGAACTCCTGTGACAAAGGTAATGCTGCTTCTGTTACAAGAATGAGTGTCAGGAAACATTTTGTTCAAGTCTCTTCAGAGAAGACCATGTTGCCTGCCCTAGCAAAAAGCTGTGCTGCCCGATGTTAGCAAGAATGTCCTCCTCTTGTCTTCAAAAGTGTCTAAGGAAGTAAACTGACCACTTTGACACATTAAAAAAAAAAATTAAAATAGTCCCATTTCCTAAAATAAAGCAAACTTGCAGCTTATTCATATGAAGCAGTATCCTTAAAGCAAATCTTAAAAATAATTAAATATTAACTCTATATCCTATTCTGACCTACTGGCTGCAAGGCTCAGGATTTTCCCTTGAAGAAGACAGGCATAAATTAGATAACTGTGCTTCAGTGTGTATAGCAAAGTAATTAAAAATACACATACTTTCAACAGTATTTTTGTCCCTTAGGGTTAGGGGGAAGAAACCAAGACTAAATCACGATTCAGCCTTGAGGACCAGCAAGAATAACATCTCCAGTTCAATACAATTAAAGCCACACTAAGAAAAGTAGGTTGAACAATTTGTTTACTGAAACTGCTCAGGCATTAAAATTGATCACTTTATTAGATTTACTCTTAAGTTACACTAACATGAATTTGATTAATTGAACCAGTAAGGAAGCTATAACTAATTGCTAATTAGATACCCCACCAATGCACGACAGTAATTACTTCATCAAAACACAAATCACACAGTTCTGACTTTGAAGAAGCATCTGCTTGGATGTTTAACTACTGCAATAATCATGTAGCTTAAGTTTAATCTATTTTTAAATTTAGGAAGATTTCCCTAAGTTTAAGGATTTTCATTCCTATGCTGATGGATAAATTAGCTAAACACAGGCAATAAAATTAACAGAAACTGATGACATACAAGACATGTGTCATCCTGCATAATTCCAAAAGAATTCCAACAGCACCTCTTACAAAAATCTATGCCTCTGGAAGCTTGATATCTAAGTATTACTAAGCTATAAGGGGAAACATGAAATGCCAGTTATACTGGACAATTTTAAGGGAGGATTTGGAGAAGGGGGTTAAACTAGCGCAGAACTGATGATTTCTACAGCAACGGAAGGGTATGTTCTGTGTTACATATGACTCTGAAGGCAGTAGGTGATATTTTCTTGTCAGCGTGATAAAGGAGTGTTGGCAGTGTCACTGCCATACACTAACACCTCTTAAGACACAAAAATTAGTTTTGCATTGTACTGGAACGTGCTAAAAACTCTCAGCAAGGAATGCAGTGATCTGGAGATATCAGCATGGTTGTTTCAAGGTGCCACGGCACCTGGCCAGGCTGTAGGACATTATTCCTCTGCAGCTTCCACAGAGCTGTGCCACTACATGCCCTGACCCTACAGCTTTTGCCCTCCTTATAAATTCTCTAATACTAAAGAGTGTCATCTCAGAGGTTCGCAGCATGCATGCTTACAGCAATACCTGAATTAAGAGCAATTTGCCCAGTTTTTCCAAGGCTGAAAACTGTGGAAAGGCAAGGGATACCACAGGAAACAGGAGCTCCCTCAGTCCAAGGTGCATTCCCAAATCCATAAAACAAGGTCTTTGACAAACAGACTTGATGGAAGTCAAACGGGATACAGATGAATTCCTCACTTACCAAAAAAATAGGTATGTTACTATAACAGGAGAGGAAAAGAAAAAAAAACCAAAACCCCACAAAGTTACAGAGATCTCCTTTCTGATCCATATCACACCACAGGGATAGATAAAATGTCACCTCCCGTTCTAGCTAAAAAACCCCAAAAATCTCAAATCAGTTATTTCAAATTTCATTTAAAAATTTTTAAAAAGTAGTACAGAGTAAATCTCACTGATGCTTTTTCAAGAGTGAAATAAAGTATCAAGAGCACAGAGCTAGAAGTATCAATAATATATTTCACTTCAAGAAATTTAAGAAAAATTCCCGTATGCACTTCAGCAGCTTTGTCGGCCCTTTACTGGAAAGATGTGCATATTTACAGCTTTTCTTCTCCTAAGAAACTGGGATGTTAAAAGCAAACAGGATTTAATGAATTTTATAACTCCAGTAAGAACAGTAATATCAAATACTGACAGAGGGAGAAAGGGTAAGAACAGCTCATTTCAAGTGCTCAGCTTAGAAAAGACCCTTAATAAGAACTGCAGATATCCCACCTACTACATAAGAATCTACTCCAGAGTATATATGCTCCTCAAACCTCAGGTTTACCAAGAAAAGCAATAATTCTGGTGAAAAGTGGCACTTACGTGGACTCAAAAGCTTTCTTTCAAATCCTCACATGAGATAGGAACAAGTCAGAAAAAAGAAAAAAAGCCCACAACCACTTCATAAAGTATTGTTCCCTATACTAGGAAGTAACGCACAAGAAAAGAGGGTTTGTTGTTTACATGGTTCACTGTCAGGATCAATTAAAAAGGTAATAACAGGCAAATGCACAAAGGTAGCACACACAATATCACATCCTGTCAGTCTTAAGACTTTTATCTCAGTGTCTCTAGACTATGTTGTGCCAGACTATAAAAATCCATGAAAAAAAATCAATTTGGATGTTTCCTGCACAATTATCTCTCCTCTAGTTATAGGGAAAAATAGAAAATGTAAGTGTGTCAGTGCTGTAGCTTCTTCTGAACACCTTTTAGTTCTTCAATTATCTGCATTTAATTTTCCCCTTCCAGTATCGCTGAAGGGACTCTATCATAGGATGAGGAAATAATGGCATTGAATGTAAAACCGATATTTGAATTAGATGCTGTGGGAGAGGAAGAATATTTGCTCACTTAGTGTCTCCCATCATCTTAACTACCTCGCAGAAGATCCTAATCCCTTACAGAAAACAGGTCCAAGAGATGGGCAACTGCACGGGGGGGCACAGGCAGCGCTGATGGAAGAGCTAATCCAAGCTCACATTAATAAGGGCTAGCAACTGTCCAGCACACAACTGAGGGCAGGATCCCAGGTCCTGCCCCGTGCGCCCAGAGGAACCACCAAGGCCATCGCTGTGACACACGCTGGCGAGCCACAGCAGGACAGCGCAGACGTGAGCACAATCCTCTTGTAACCAGTTTATCTAGTGAGTCTATAAAGCCCACATTCATCATTAATACAGAGCTACCTGCTGTATATACAGTACGGTGTTGCCATAGCGCTACCTGCCCTTTTGTTTACGAAGGAATTACCTCTACTGGAAGATGTACACGTCGCCCAGCCTGCAGAAAGGTGAACCTGTCGCTTACTAGCTACCAACTTCCAAAGAAAACAGTACTTCTCTACAACCTTGTCTTCAAGGTTTGAAGACGGACATAAATTGACAGATTACCTGGTAATTATTTTGGTTTTGTGACAGCCTCAGTTGACTTGAAGATGTAAAATGAGGAGAAAAGGTACTTCTTGATGGATTAGCACTGTTATATAATGTACTGGATGTTGTATGTAATGAGGTCCGTGCTGGCAAGTGGTAGTCTCTGTTATGATACAGAATATTGTCAGGCACATCCCTGGCATTCACCATCTGTGAACTACAGCTCACATTTCTTCCTGGCCCAGACAAGGCTGCGCTTTGGTTCTCTACTCGAACAGAACTGCTGCTTTCACAGTATCTTGAATAGCTTTGTATTTGTGCTCCCATGGATGCCAGTTCTTCTTCTCTAGCATATTCGTCATCCACGTCTCCAGTTTCCATCGCGATGGACAGGCAGCTGCCTTCCACCGAGCAGTGCTTCTGCGTGGCACTCCCTCCCACAATTCTCTGAGGTTGATCTGTAACCGCCAGCGAAAACACTTCGCGGATTTCCAGGTTTTGCGTGCTACAAGAAGGGTCCCTGGTATTAGCCCTTTGTCCAGGGGGCACATGCGATGCGAGAGCTGCATGGTCCGGTTTTTGTAACCTTTGACATCCCACGGGTTCAGCTTTACAGGGTCTGTGACATATCATCGGTTTCTGAGGTAACACCAACTCTGCAGTCTGGACTGATGACCCACCATAGCTTTTTTTAGTGTGACTGTATATGGAGTTCGCAGAATTCAGTACGCTTGTTTGCCTAGATAAAATAATTGTCTTTTCCCCTACTAATAGGGAAGCATTTTTACAATGTGGTACTTGTCGTCCTATAGGGATATGCTGCTGCTGAAACTCTGTATCACTTTTCCCTGGCAGTCGTGGAATAGAGGTTTTATGTATTTCTGTCACTGAAGTATTTGTCTGTTTGGTGGATCCTTGCCTACTGGATGAACTAGCAGGACTGTATATACCAGTAACTATTACATCGTTATTAGAAGAGGTCCAAGAAGACTGCTGACTTTGGGATCGAGCAATATTCACCACATTTCTAACTGCTGCTTCTGGAGGTACTGAGGGAGTAGTAGGGACAGTCCCTGGGGGAGTGCCTCCAGATTCTACAGCACTCTTGCTGCTCATCTTCCTTCGTTTATTGCCAACCCACGTCTGCAAACAACAAACAACAACGACAACAAACACAAAACAAAGCATTAAACAAGCAGAAAAACAAGCAATTCCATTTTTAATCAGATCTGATGAAATGTTAAGTGTTCAAGTTGAGACCTAAGTTTAATAATAAGTAAATCATCTACTGATTATGCAGCATCCGAACAATACAGGATGGAAATCCATGCCTCTCATGCCTGGGATTCCTACACTAACACACAAGAACCCCCGTCTCAATTCCAAAGCCCCAGTTTCTCAAAAATCCTGAGACTGGATCGTGCCTCCTGTTGTGAAGTTACCCTTACAATTTATTTCATCGACACCGCTGTGACTAATTCCCTAAATTTAAGTTTTTGATATTTAGCATCTTGGGATGCAGAACCATCACTGAGGTATGTAGCTAAACTTTTGTAACCAAGTAACTGAGAGATACGACCTTCAAAACTGCCTTGAACAGAAACTGCCAACTCTTGAATTTAGATGAGAGGTAGAAAAGAAAGAACTCTCTCTGTTAGACAACTACAAAGTGATTTTGTGAAGTATTTAGACCTATGGACTAATTCCTTCTCTGCCAGATGCACAAATCAAGATCTGATGTCAAAACCTGCTTTTGAAAGACACTGATAGACAAGATTAGGACTACTGGGATTAGATTCCAACAGAAGTTTGCTATTATGGACATTTCTGAAAGTGTCAATGACAGTATATATCATTCTGTTTAAAGACAGTAGAGGAAAAAGTATTTTAAAAATGCGGATACTACGGCAGTTGTGCACAGGTTAAAATGTACTGCTGTTTTAAACACACGGTCCTGCGAGTAACACATTAAGACAGAACTAAAAGAACTGAAGGGGAAACATTAACTTCAGTATTTCAAGAAAAAGAGAGCATCAGCTGGTGGAAGCATCAGCTCTAACACTAGAAGTGTAAGCACCACCTAACTATTCCTGGCAACTGTCACGATCAGAGACAGGGCTTGCACGTTCTTTCACCACAGTATGTCTGTACTGAATGTGAGGGCACGAGCGAGCAGGATACAAGTGCCAAAGAGCAAAAAATAAGCTTTCTGCATCCGCTTATGCTGGTTATGAAAAGGATCAGGTACGCATACAGAGATACAGTGAAACCGTTTTCTGCACCACTCTGGCTATCATCTGCTGCACACCTAAAACCAAACCAGAGCAAGATCTCAACATTCAGCAACCCAAACCAGATGCTTAATCAATAAACTCCCTCACCCCATAACAAGCAAACTGCACCGAGTAGCTATCTTGGGTTTCCATCCGATCACATGAAAGGAGGAAAACTTTCTTCACATACCGATACCTGCTAAGGAAGTAAACAGATTTTTCTATAGGAAAATATGCATCACTGTCATACAGAAGTATGTTGATGTCTCCATTCCATTCTACTCATTTTTGTTGTCAGATTTTTAAAAATGCCTAATTTGAGGCTTGATTAGTTCCATGCAGTAAAATCTCAGTTACTAGTGATAAATTTTTTCTTCTCAAAAGCAAGTTTAAATACAGAAATTATAGCCACAGATCTCAAGTCACTCTATTGCCTAAAACAAGTTCAGAAAATCAAAGTTACTTTTTTGTTATTTCTGCCCAGGCAGTAAACTCTGAAGATAGAAATTATAATTAAATAGAGACACTGCAAATTTGGACCAAGAAAAGAGATTTCATCCCCAGTTTTTCCAAATGTATAGAACTAAAATCTGAAGTTTTTCTCAGTGAAAAATCAGACTTGGAGAGCTTTTGCACTTTATCAAGTCACATTTAATGTAAAGCTTTCCTGAAAAGAAATGCATTCAGAGAAATGCAAATAATTTCCTAGCACTACTATTCACTTGGGATTAAAGTACAGTTTCATGACACAGCACAAGTCAGGTTTGCCACTGCTGAGTTCCATTCTCCTGACTGTGTCCCCAGATTCTTACTCCAACTGTTCATCCAACAGCACCCACCTGAAGGATCAGTGAGTGAAACTCCCCCAAAAAGCATAAAACTGAACTGGGGGGAAAAACCAAAAAACCCAAAAAGAACAAAAGTTTTGGTAAGGTTAGCAAATTTAACTGGGTTACTCTGAAATTTAAAAAAAATGTGAGAGATGATCAGCATAAGAAGAAAGACAGGAGAGAAGGAATTGCATAGCTGGGAGAAGGGAAAGAGGACAACCCCCCCCATATTTAGCACTGTGAGACATCAACACTGAGAAGAATTATATAAAACTATACCCTTAGACTGAAAAGGGAAGCTCCACATTCTTATTAGCTTGATGGTCACAGTACTGATTTGGGATGTGACAAAGGAGTCATTAAGTACAAAATATCCTCAGAAAAGGGACACGAATCTTTGTTACAATCAAGTTCCCCAACTAGCAGGCTTTGGGAACACTTTCACTAACACTGGAAGTATTACTGAATTTCTTAATTATGATTTAGGAGGAGGAGAAGCTCCAAAATGAGATGATATAGCAAAAGTCCAGCTGTTAAGAAAATTACCGGGAATTTAAGAGGCTCTGATTTTACATTCCCAGTTTGACTCAGGCAGAGCTGGAAGTTCAGGCTGTCCCACAATCCAGATACAGGCCACAGGACTGTCAGTGGTGCCTGCCTATTAGTTTTGACCAGAAGGTCCATCCTAAATCTAAAAATAGTGTCCCGAGGAAATCTTTCAAGAGGTATAAAAGAATAACGAAGCTGTAAGTCTTCTGGTATCTGCTGTTGTAGTGTGGGGAGAACCCCACATCACCTCCCAGATCACTGCTCCCAGCACTCAGCAATACTGTGAAAATCAGACTTGGAGAACTTTTGCACTTTACCAAGTCACATTGCTCACATTTCATGCAAAGACAAAAAGCAACCAGCAGAAGTATGCTAATATTAATGAATGAAACCAGGCCATTGTGAGAGCCGAGCAACCAGGCCTGTGAAAAACTAAGACAAACAGCCTGGGAAAGCAAAAGTTGAGGCTGATTGAAGATTTGCCTTAAACACTCCCAAGACAAAACCATGAGTCCCAGGGTGCTTTCTGTGGAGGCCGAAGCTGATAAGGCTGCCCGATGTATCTGGGGAGAGAGCCCTGTGGAGACGGGACGGCTCTGCCCTGGGGCACCTGGGCACATTTCAAGGGCCATGTGTCCAGTGAATGAGCTTTGCTTCATTATCCACGAAATGCATATTAAAGTTGACACCCCTCAATATGCTAACGAGGGCTGTCGTGATCATGCTAGTGACATCATCCCATGAAACACCTTACCCCTCCCCGTACATGGGATACGTAGGTCTGTGGGTTGACCTAGGGGACGGACCCAAGGAAAGTGGGTAAAAATCAAAGGGGAGAAGAAAGGGCTCTCTCTCTCTCTGCCCCTCTTCCTGTCCGTGTCCGTCCCCCCCCCCCGGCCATCCGGAGAGAGCAGTGAAGCAAAGACGACGGATGCCAGCGAAGAAGATAGCTGCCTCCTGGAATCCTCGCCGGCAGGAGCAGCGCAGGAACTCAGACCGGTGATCTGTACTCCCCCATTCCCTCTATCTCCCTCTTTTCCTTTTTTCTGTTAAGAAATGTAAAGCATATTATATTGCTTGCCACAGCTTGCTCTGTACTTAGCCAATTATCATGTGTTCAATTAGTGCATTGTAGGTAGTTAATAAATGCTTGAACTTGGAGACTTCTTGTCCGCTCCAATTGGGGATTTGCGAATCTGAGTCACTTGTCCCCCTCGCTGGAGCGGGACGTGACAGCCATTCAAACCTGATGTAGCTAGAATAGATCTCTATTAAATTTGAAGAGGGCCAGGGTTTTTTTCCTGGGAGCAACTCTACCACACTTCCTAATTTTGAAAGGGAGAACGGCATTTTAATGTACTGCAATAACAAAATCTGTAGAGGTTTACATCAAATCATAAATAGGACTTTTCTTTTTTCCAACCCAGCTCAAGAGTGGAAAGACTGGGTGTAGTTCTATGGTACAAGGCTATAGAAATTCTGATTTGGGTCAAGAATATATTCATAGTTATGATACTTGAATTATAACATTTAGGGAATTCATGTTCCTATTATAGTCATAGCTGTAAGTGCCAGCTGCAACCCAAGTATCATTTTGCTAGACATTGTGCAAAGAAGTACTAATCTCTGTCCATGAGTTTTAGAGGGGGGAAAAAAAGAAAAAAAATAAAAATAGGGGGATTAGAAGAGGCAGAAAGGAGGGGTGTAACGAAAAGAAAGGTAAGATCATGCAAAAATATGACAAATGGAGGACAAACGCTGGATCTGTTTCCATTGCACTTTACAAGTAGGGAGAAAGTTGAAGCTCAGCAAGGGAAGAAAACTGAAGGAAAAAGGCCATGATACGTTCTTGCAGTGAGGGAAACTGAGAGGGACGGGGAAATATGAAGATGGAGAGTGAATGAGGACTGCAAGTAGGGGAGAGACTGGCTGCCTCCTCTAGGTCCTTCAATCAGAATAAAAATAGATAAACAGGCCCTGACTGCCTCATCAGCACCCAGATTCCTGTTACAACTGTTTGTCTCTTTCAGGGAGTCTGAACTGCTGGCTGGCTATCAGAACTTCCCACCACCTAGAGCTGAGAAACTAAGTTTTACCATTTCCACAGTATTTTGAGGGAGGGGAATCCAGGTAAAATTAGGGAGCAGGAGGGCTTGCCCCTGGCAACAGACCACTGGTACACCACTTAAAAAAGCACTAGATTGGTCTTACTTCTTCCTTTTCAGTGTCCAGTGTGGCAGCAACTCCTGGTATCTCCACTACCATTGTTATTTTTTCAGTTAATGCTTCATGATTTCTATTTCTGCTCTGAGACAACAGCCATTTTGTTGTCTAGTGTTTCACAAAGGGATTATTATTTCCCTTCCCATGGAATTCACAGACTTTGGAAGAGCTCCTGTTAGCACTAGTGACGTTCTTCTTTTATAAGAAAAGAATGTACTCACTGTAAATAACCATGAGGGATCACAATATTTATGATTGTGACATGGCATACAAGTGTGAGAGTGTGTCAAAAGAAATACTTCCGCAATTATTCCCTCAAATACGTTAGGTTATAGAAATTTAACTGAAGAATAGTTTCCTAACAACGTGACCTTTCTTTGATATAATAAATTGCACAAGGTTTCTACAGGGCAAACTAAATTACAATCTACTAAACAAAAAACCCCCAAACCCAAACCAAAACACCATCAACAAAAGACAAATAGCAACCAAAAAAAAAACCCCAAACAAACAAACAAAAATCACTCCTTGTGCAATCCAGGCCCCTGCTAAATACAGCAATCATGTGAAGACATTTCAGCGAAAACAAGCTATAAACAGGCTCACTGGATAAAAATGAACATGTCACACACGCATACTGAAGTCTGATTTAAGACAAGTATGAAGTTAGAGACTCCAGTCCTCTACAGATACTTTATGTAAAGAAATGAATGTGTATAACTTTAACAGACAAATTTGGAAGGCCTCAGTACTTACCCTGACTACACTGAAGTCCAGTTTAGTTTCTTGTGCACACTGTAATATGAGCTGAAAGCAATTTTTACTTTGATTTGTCATTCCATTTTCATAATAACGCTGTAATATCCTTTGTTGTTCTACAGTAAATACAGAACGCAGATTCATCTAAAAATAAAAGAAGATACTCTGAAAGTTGGGAATAAAAACTGTAATACTTGCAGAATGCACAGGCTCTCATTAATGCTTGTGATAACGCTAAGTGTTGACATGTTTTTCTTTACAGAGTACTTTACCAACACTTTTACTTACTTTCAAGAAAAACCTGTTACAGTCAGCATTAGTGATTCCTCTGTGATAGACTCAAGTTGAACAGGTGAACTACATGTTTGGAACAACACTGACAGCCTTTCATAAATAAATAAATACTACATTGTGTTGCTAAGACCAAGAGACTCACTCTAGTTTCAAAGGAAAAGTGTCTTCAGACAAACAAACAAAAAAGGCATGAGGCAAAACAGAGTAACACCAGCAACTCCAACAATATCAGCAGGTCTATTCCTCTTCCCTGCCCTCCCCCCCCCAAAAAAACCCAACAACAACAAAAAAAAGACACGAAATCTGAGATCAAATAAAGGTGGTTGTTTGGCACAAGTAAAGTTTCCACTGTCTCGAACTTCAAAAATCCTCCACTCCTTTATGGCTGGTCATGCTACTCCTGCTGTGTCAGCACCGGCACTTCCCAGCTGCAAAGGCACGAAGATCAAGGACCAGAACTGAAGACCAACTCGGGGAGAAAAAAAACAAAGAGAAGGGCTTGAGGCACTTCTGGTCCAGCCCACCAGAATGCCAATGCTCTAATATTAACGGGAAGGAGGGACCACCCAAACCACTGCCTGCATTTAGAAAGGTTCAGACTCTGAAACTGTACCCTGAGGCTTTAAACCAGGCTTTTTAAGAACACTTGAGGATTGTTTTACAGGGGTATAAGCCGATGCTGGCTGCAGGACCTCGGGATGCCTTCCTGCCCCTTCGTTTTGTCCGAAGCAGTGCTGTGATCTTCAGCACGTTCAACCAGAAGGGAGAGACCCACGCTCCCACCAGGCTAACAGCAACCCTTCAGGGGGTGTTTCCAGCTCGCCCAGCCAGCTCAGCACTGGGTCCCCCCATGAGAGAGCTTTGCTGGGCGAGCAGACAGGGACTGAGTAGCCCCTCCACTTTGCTCCAGGGCACTGGGACCCTGCGAGCCTGCCCTCAGGCCCACACGCTCCCAACAGTGTGGCCTCCGTGGCGAGCAGCATCGCCCCATGGCAGGCCATCAGACAGACCCCTCACCGTCCCCACCTGGGCCATGCCCCAGCCAGACTCAGCCCAGGGCCATTCTGAGCCGTGGCAGAGGCAGAACATGGCCAGGGATGAGGCAGGAGGTGGCCAAGGAGGAGGCAGCCTCGTCTGCATGAGCACGTTAAACCACACAGCTTTGTGACGCATGAAAATTCATGCCCTAGCTTGGAAAAGGAAAAAAACAGACTCCCTAACAGCAAACTCAAGTTTTATACTCTTGTTATATGGTCAATACAGGCAAATAATATAATCCTCTGGTTACATGTAAGAAAAGAAGCACCTCATCATCCCAGAATTTCCAGAATGGGGCCTTTATTTGTGCCAAACAGGAGGCCGCCGGCTGAGACACCGCACCCGATTTCATGTCTTGGAAGGCAAAAAAGTCATCAGCCAAAAGTTATTTTTAACACTTTAGGTACATGTATCAAAATATCACAGAACAAACTAAAGAATAAGAACCACACCATCAGCTTGCAGGAAAATAAAGGGGATGAGGGAATCCTTTGTAGCTACCAAGTTTTTAGTTCCACCAGAGCTTTGACTCCAGAGTCTATCTTCCTCTATAAGTCAACAACAGACAAATCACTAACTACCAATTTGTAAAAAGTACTCATTTTTTTTCAATAATACTTAAAATAGAAGATGATTTTTCAATCTCATTTTAAACTCTGTTCCCAATTCTTACTTACGTTCTCAACCTAGAACATTATTAAATACAGCATTACAAGTCAGGCTTTGCCCGAGTTAAGTCTCCCCCAGAATGTGCATTCAATCACAGTCAGAGCTGGGCAAAAGAGACTCTTGCTCTGAATACTCTGCTGTTTAAAGAAATTTATAGCAAGCAACAGAGGAGACAATTATTAGCCCATTAACAAATCAATAAAGTTCGTAAAAATCTACTTTATAAAGTTAAGAACTGTCTTCAGACCTCCCATGTGGATATGCAGGATGATGCAGCCACCAATGGATTTATCTTACTTTTAAAGAATATTCAGGAGTTAATTTTGTGATTCTTCTTCCTCCAGCATGATTGGCAGGACCCAGCTAACACTTCTGTGTTTACTACTCTTTCAGCACCAGCGGTCCCTGTTTTATTTAGTTGAGATCAGTTCCCACAAATGATCTCATCAGAAATAGTTATGAACTTTCTATCTTTCCAGATCCAGATGAAGGCTGTCATCCAATAGCTCCAGCATTTCTATACAGAGGCTCACCAAAAAGAAGCACGGTCTCCAAATACTTCATCAACTGCAATGAAGACTCCTTCAACTGCAAGACAAAGTTTTAGAATCAGACCTGGCGACCTGCAGACAAAGACGTGTGTCAAGACCTTGACATATTTTTTTTAATCATGTAGATCCCGGTATCCAAAGTCACTTCTGTGTTAAAACTCTTCCATTGTTGGATCTGACATCTGTAGTTTAGATAAGGACAGGGTGGAGCACTTTGACGAAATCTCTTGATCTTCAGATAAAGCTATATGCATTCTTCATTCTTCAGCTAAACTGAAGAGAGGTCATGATGTGGTGTAATAAACTACTCATCTTTGCAGGTTATTTTAACCACTTGTAAACTACACCTGCCAACCAAAATACTGGTGAGATTCCTTAGTAACTTCTGCCTTGAATCCAATCAAGCACAGCTCAGAAGGATCTGTGCAGGGGCCATCAGAAACTGATTTAAAACAAACAGATTGCAGGACCCTACAAACATAGATTTATGGAAGCTGAGGCATAACTTAAGTTTACATTCCAACATCTAAACTTTCAAACAAGCAGGTGAGAATTCATTAATGCTTTTTGTGTTTTAAATATACTGAATCCTAAGTCAATAGACAGTTCTGTATAATTTCCTACTACCCCGCCTATTCACACACGTATTTACCAAAACTACAGAAGGGATATTAAAATAGTCTTAAATTATCATTAGCTATCCTGATAGATAAATCAATCTTATTCATTCTGCTCTGCCAATTAATTCATCCTTAAAAAAAAAAATCAATCTGCCTTTTATTAGAGACAAAAGAAATTTAGGGTTAAATTGCAGAATAATCCAGAGCACACACAAGCTACGCAGTGAGCTACATCTGCCCAACAGAAAACTTGGTTCAAATTCTACTCAAAATATTGAACTCAAAGCAAACTAACCAAACCACCGGGTCCACAGTTCCACTACAACAAGCCATTCTGTTATATCCCATAATACTTTGAACTACCAAGCTACAGGTGCTGGGTATAATGTGGATATTTGCAAGCAGACAATAAGCTCCAGACAGCACAGAAGTGATAGATAACCCCAACACAGAGCACTAATGCCAAAAATAAAGCCCCAATAAACCCATCCCGCCCCCAGGAGGCTGCAGGATGGTTTTTGCTGTTTGGGTCGCAGACAAAGCACAACCTGCTCTGGTCAGAGCTGGGCAGGACACACGACTTAGCGTGAAGATCTTGGATTACACAGAACAAGAGAAAAGAAATTAAGACTCATAGTTTCTTTGCTTTTAAACTGCCTACATAATAATTTCTAACTAGGTATAAAAGATCACAAGATTACTATTAGTAGTAGAAACAGCAGTAATATTCTCCAAGCATTCAATCTCAATATTGTAGGACACAACAATATACTGATTTCACACGTGTAGCACATTTGGCAATATTCCTTCTCTTGCAGGTTAAAAGCTCACTGATAGTATGTCGTTTGTAAAGTCCAGGTGGAAATCAGTTTGCCATCAGCAGTTCTTAAGCGCTTATTTAGAGTATCTAAACCAGTACCCTGTGTTGAATAAACCAGTTACAATGGAAGCTCCATTACAAAGCCACAAAGTCCAAAGCCATCACGTTAATCCATGAAGTGCTGCCCCTGCATATCCCATCTTCACAGGCAACAAGTTTTGTTCACTTTCCATACCTGTCAGACCTAGCAATTTATCTACATTGAGTACACTGAGCAGTCAAACACGTAGAAGAATATAAAGATACTGTCTCTGACACAGGGTACGTTTGTCAAAGGATTACATCGATTTTTTTTTTTTTTTGGAGAAGTGTTACCTGTTCAGCACCACTTTTCATAGTTATACAGAACAAGATGTTAATTCTTACGTTTTCTTTAATATGAGAAATAACTTACAAAGTGCTGACATTACTAAACATTAAGGTAGCCACATTAGCATCAAGGGAATCAGCAGGTCATGTGCCTTTATAATGGACTCAGTATTATTCAAAAAAATCCCATCAAATTCAAAGGAAATAAACTCCTTTTCCCACTTCATGTACCTACGGAGCACTCCAGTTTCTTCACAGTTTATCACCTCTGTCTTAAACCTCAGACTTCAAGTTAGAAATCAACATGGATTTTTATCACAATTTCACTTTGATCTTGACTTGCCAAGCTTAGAAAACAAGCATCTGAGCTTTTGGGAAGCCCAGTGTCCAGTTGGTTGGCAACACATTGGCACCGAGAAGAGTTTTTGTTACAGAAAAGAACTCTGTGATATTTAACAAAACTCAGGCACAGCATTATGCAAACTGAAATTCCATTAACCTAAGTTATATTTTTCAATTCAGTAAAAGACAGAGGTGGCAAAGCACTATCTGTAAGGATTCAACATTTGCCTGCTCTACTAATAAGTTAGCCTTGGCCGAGTATGGTGCTGTCTGTGTGACAGTGCAGAGAATAATCTATGACAAATGTAAAAGTAGGTTTCCTGTAAGTACTTCCTTCACCCCAGCCGTGTCCTAGGCCATCTAACCATTCAACTTTCCACTTTGGAGGTCTACCACTCCTCAACTTTCTGTAAATCCACCAATATAAAGATGTCGTTCTTCATTCCCTTTCTAAACTGAATACTATTTTTAAAAAATTTATCACAGTAGCAAAAGAATCTCTTTGCTATATGCTGCGGTTTGAGAACTGTAAATGCAGTCCAAGTGCTAAGTCAGGCACTGGGGACAGGCAAAAGATCCGAGGCTGGTAAGTGAGAACGACAACGGGAACTCCACGCCCTTCAGCTTTCCCGAGACTGCTGAGCACGAGCCTCCCGAAGGACAATCCTACTAACACACTGTGACCTGCCACGCTGGCTCCTCGTCAGGTGAGATTAAGGTTATTCTTACCGCTGAACTTCTTTAGACTTCTTTAGCTGCTTGAGCAACTTTTTCCACCTTCCTTTGCCTTCTGTGGCAAGAGCGAGCACAAGTGGAGAGGGGAGAACACATTAAAACCGAAGCCGAGTTTGCTTCTGAAGCAGTAGCTCATTTGCTTCCTGAAACAGGTACTTAATGTAACAATTATCCCACACTGTTTGCTGGAAATGCCTAGTCCTTCCACTCTAGTTACTTTATTCAACATCCAAAATGAAGAATCTCTCCAGGGAGACCTGGTGAAACCCACAGATGCATTTCTTAGAAACTAATGAAAACAACTTGGTGTCAGGGAGTACCACAAAAGAAAGAACAACAATAAGAAAATGGGTATTAATGATCCCCTGGTTAGGAGAAAAAAAAAATTAAAAAAATCAAGAGTTACTTAGCTGTTCTGCAATGACTACTTGAAAGATCTGGAGAAGGAAAAAAAAATTTCTGTGGTCTAAAGTCTGCCTACAGTGTACAGCATTATAGTCTCACTCTCAAAAAGTCTCTAAATAATTAATATTGCTCAACCAAGTAAACTTACTTTCAAGGCAAATCTTTATAGAATATGGCACTAACTGCATTGATTTGAAAAACAAGAAATAAAACCAATACTCCTCTCATTTCAAGTAGTAACAGAAACTAGTCTTGGATGTAAAATTAATTAAAAAAATGAATTCACTCTGAGTACAAGCCACCACAAAGTAACTAAGTGTACAAATCTATATGGTATAAACCACTATAAAACTGTCAGGGATTAACACATAATAATAAAAGGGAAATTTTTTCTTTTCCTCCACAGATCTCCAGTGGTACAAAATAACAAGACTCTGCGCCAGTATAAATCGGAGACAAAAATGCAACTATAATAAGCAAGCTACTATATACATAAATAAAACAAGTCTGCAGTAGGGACACTATTACTACAGTTTTAGAAACTGTACCAGCAATCACCTCATTCACTTTCTATGTCTGCCAAAAGTTCACAATTTTTTGCACACTCCAAATGGAAGGAAAAAAAAAAACAAACAACCCTCCAACTTACACACCATGTGTGGAGATACTGGACGTACACCAAGCAATGATGTTTAATAACCTGGATTTGTAGGTTACTGCCTCTTTCCTCCACAGGCCAAACTAGTTACTACTGCACAACTGGAAGGGCAGTAGATTATGCTTATGGTTGGTAAGTGTAATATACAGATCAGCTCGTAAAACTACTTTTAAATATCTGTGACTCACAGCACAAGTGCTTCCCTCTCCACTAAGTACTGTATTAGAGTTCCACCTATACAATTCAGCCCTTTATTAGGGACAAATTAGACAGCCCTCTGTAAGTGAGTAACATAATCACCTATGACCGCAACTCTGCAGGTTTGTGCATCCCAACCCACTTTATTCATGCAAACGAGACTTCTAACAGGATGAGCCACGGTTTAAATTAAGCATGTATGCAAGCATTTCTAAGACCTATGTCAGGAAAAAAGGAAAGGAATACTAAAATGCAGTTTTGCTCTGAAGGTGTAAGCTGCTTCAAGACTCTGGATTGGAGGAGATAGAACTACTTTTGATCTTACCTACAACATCAGGAGCCCTAAGCTAACTGAACGCAGGGAGATGGGTTGGGGATTGCCTGTTATCCCCCCGAGAGGGGGAAGCCTACACGCAACACAAGCACTTCCAGAGGGGAGACCTCACCTGGCACTGTCATCCCCCCCAAACGCCACAGAATGCACAACCACCACACTTCTTCCTCCTCCTTCCCTTCTGAGAAGTCAAGGGCTAAAATTTGACAGCCCTGTTCAACCGCCACCACGACTGGTTTAGCGTTTAGCACCAAAACTGGGCTGGTATGGCCATTGAGAGGCGTTAAGTCCTTAGGGAACACAAGGTTTGAGGTGTTCTGTGCCAATCCCCTGCTGCTGGCCACCTCCAGCCCCGCTCCCACAGGGATGTCCGTGTGCCCCTGACCCCAAAGGGCTCACACCATGAGGCAGTTTTCTTCTTACAGAATCACAGAATCGACTAGGTTGGAAAGGACCTTGTAGATCATCTAGTCCCACCGTTAACTTAGCACTGACAGTTCCCAACTACACCAGATCCCTCAGCACTATGTCAACCCGACTCTTAAACCCCTCCAGGGATGGGGACACCACCACCTCCCTGGGCAGCCCATTCCAACGCCCAACAGCCTATTCTTAAAGAAATGCTTCCTAATATCTAGTCTAAACCTTCCCTGGCACAACTTGAGGCCATTACTTCTGGTTCCATCGCTTATTACTTGGTTAAAGAGACTCATCCCCCCTCTCTGCCCCCTCCTGGCAGGGAGTTGC